AGAGTCGAGTCCAGGTCCAGGCCCTCAGGGTGTCTGTTCTGGTGGGAGAAGCTGAAAGACGCCTTCAAGGGACGAGCAAAGAGTGGGCACTGATTGGTAAAATGAGAAGAACAAAAGGAATTCGAAGGAGGGAGAGGAATCTGTTCAGAAGGAAGATAGAAATGACGGGAAGAAGTAACAGAAGATAGAAATGACGGGAAGAAGTAGCAAGATCCAAAGCCCCTGTTTAAATTACTTTTTGTGTGTTTTTTATGAGATGAGCTTGGGCTTGCGGGTAGAGGCGAGAAGACGTGAGGTGATGTGTGCAAGGGCAGTCAGGGTACCGCCATTTCTAACCGCAAAGACTGGAGGCACGTGGCTAAACACGTCACATCAGTGCGTCGGGATACCACGCAGCCGCCCAAAGGGCTGATCTCTTCTCTGAGAGTCACCATTGTGGTTACTGGGAGGGAGGTGTGACTGGAAGAGGCAAGGGCGCTGCTGGGAGCTAGGCGTGCTCTCCGTCATGAGGGGTCGGTGGTGACGCTGTTGTGAACGTCTGCAAAAAAGCATCAGGTCTCACACAAGATTCGTGTTGCTCACCTGCTGTAAAAAGCTATAGGTCAATTTTTTTAAGCTTCAAAAAATATTCTCTTTGTATTTATTGATCAGTAATTATCTCCAAGGGTATATTGTTAAATGTAAAATGCGTACAGAACAAGCTATAGTGAACGCACTCCTTGCTGGGGGGAGGGGTTTCGATAAAGGAAATATATACTCATACCCAGAACGTCTGTCACTAGAAGGAAGGAGAAAGGGGTAAGGCGTTGTCTCCAGGAGAAGAGAGAACCAGGTGGCCTTCGGCCTGGGGTGGGTGCTCACGTGGGGAAGGAGTCAATTAATCTTTTACTTTATTTTATTTACTTATATATATATTTTTGCGGTACGCGGGCCTCTCACTATTGTGGTCTCTCCCGTTGCGGAGCACAGGCTCCGGACGCGCAGGCTCAGCGGCCATGGCTCACGGGCCCAGCCGCTCCGCGGCATGTGGGATCTTCCCGGACCGGGGCACGAACCCATGTCCCCTACATCGGCAGGCGGACTCAACCACTGCGCCACCAGGGAAGCCCCAATTAATCTTTTAAAGCGAGGGGAAATCTGAAGCATGGAGAAGTTAAGAGGGCTTCCTTTGTTACTTTAACCCCACAGGTGACAGTTGTAGTGTGGGTTTAAGTCATTGGAAGCTCCCAGTCTGCGGGAGGAGGCGAGTGCAGATGCATGATATAGGAAGCCTGCTCAGGGAGTCTGGATTGGGGGCAGCTTCAAAATTGTGTTTTTCTCAATAAACCAAACATAACTGAGTCCTAGGTCAGATCCTATAGCTCAGTTTTGCCCTAGCTTTTCAACTCAACCGAGTCCTCTTCAATTTGTTGAAATTGGGCAGGCATTTACCTGCACACTTACACAGCACTCACGGCCAGAGAGCTTACAAGGTCCGTTAGGCAGAGGAAAACCACATGAAATCACTATTTAATTTTTGGAAAGAGAAGCCCCTTCCCCCCACCCCCCACCCCCGCCCTTGGCCTCCATCTCTTGGTAGTATACTGCCACCTGGCGTCCCCTCAACAAACTGACACCAAACACATTCTCAGAAGTGCGAATTCAGAAGTATTGAAATAAGTAAGGTGGAGAATGAGCCGTTTTATTATAATTGAAAACTATATTAGAAATCAGTCCACACAGACGCAGAGATACTTGTGTATGTACGAAATTCTTCTGGAGAATACAAGCAAGCTGTTAACAGTGGTTGTCTCCAGGAAGAGGGACAGTGTGCCTGGGAACACTATCACTGTATTTTTTTTCCCCCGACCAGGGATCGAACCGGCACCCTCTGCATTGGAAGCGTGGAGTCTTAACCACTGGACCACCAGGGAAGTCCCTATTGTTTCTATACCTTTAAAATTTTGAGCCATAACGTATTGCTAATTGAAAAAAATGAAGTCCAAAAGAAAAAGATCTGTTTATTAAATTTCACTGTGTTAACAAGGAGGCCATCTTTTCTTCATTCATTGATTCATATACCTAACAAATACTTCCTGAATGTTTACTCTGTATGTGCAGGAACAAAGGTGAAGAAAACAGACACATTCCTGCCCTCCTGAGGTTTAGACTCTTCTGAGAGGATGGCCTTTGACAGCACATGTTGAAGGTGGCAGAGCCCCATGAACCTGGGTCCTTGGATGACTGATGGTGTGGAGCGGAGCTCCCAGCCTTGGGTCAGGGAGATGGGGAGCTATCCTCTTCTGTTTGCTTAAACCTACGGTGGGGTATCGTTGTTTCAGCCCTTTGCTTTATCCTAGTTTATAGGACACTTCACAAGTGTGACCTAATGGGTGTTTTATTCACCCAAGAGCTGAAACACACACATTCTTCTCAAGTACACGTGGTAAATTTACAAAAAGTAGCCACAGATGGGGCTACAAAGCATGTCTCAACAAATTTCAAAGAATGAGTGTTGCAGAGATTATATCCCTAGACCACAATGCAATCAAATGAGAATTTACTAAGTAATTGGTTAATTTTTTAAATTAATTCAAAAATTTAAAACATTTCTAAGTAACTCATGGGACAGAGAAACATAATAATGGAATTTAGAAAAAAACTTCAAATTGATAATTTAAAAAAGACAATAATGCAAATTTGTGGGATAAAACTAAAGTGGTAGGTACTTAAAGGGAAATTGAAAGCTTTAAATGCATTTATTAGAAAAGGAGGCTAAGGGACTTCCCTGGCGGTCCAGTGGTTAAGACTCTACGCTTCTACTGCAGGGGGCATTTTGATCCCTGGTCGGGGAACTAAGAGCCCGCATGCTGCACAGTGACGCCAAAAAAAAAAAGGCTGAAAATTAATGAGATAATTAGTTAGAAAAACTAAAAACAGAATACACTTTAAAAATATAGAAATAAAGAAATAATGAAGATGAGAGAAATTTAGAAGTATAAAACAAGGATTCATGGTCTGGTGAGGGCTGGCTTCTCACTGCAACCTCACGTGCCAGAAGGGGTGAGGGATCTCTCTGGGGGCTCTTTTAGGAGGGCACTACTGCCTTTCAACTTCCAGAGGCCCCGCCTCCTAATACCATCACCTTGAGGGTTAGGATTTGAACAGATAAACTTGGGGAGACACAAACATTCAGACCATAGCATTTTACTAAGGAAAGACCTGGGGGAAGAGATTTCCAAGCAGCAAATAGCATATGCAAAGCCTATGTTAGTAAAACTAATTCTAGAAATTCTAAGTGTGAAATATTGTGAAAGCGATGTTGTGAGTGAGGTAGACTGAAGCAGAGCCATCATAGTTCCGCAATGATTTCAAAACAAAAGAATGCGGAAACCCATGCTCCTATACGCTACTGTGGGCATGTCAATTAGTACAATATGTAAGGAGCAATTTAGCCATATGGATCCAATATTTAAAAGAAAAAAAGGGAAAGGACGTACCCTTTACCATAGCAATTCCTCTTCTAGGCATTTTCCCCACAGATATACCTCCACATGTGCATAGAGACAGTCCTCGGGATCCCGTAGCATTATTCATGACAGCAAACTTGTGGAACAAGGGACGGTGCTGGTTAACTGCTGCCTGAACAACCAAATCTCCCGGTTTGGCCTGTGTTGGGTGGCGGAGACACTGAATACCATCCTCCGACCTGAGAAGGAACCTTGAGACTGAAAGATGAAGCGGCAGCTCTATGGTGCCATTATGGAGTTTATTGTGGGTAACTTACACACAGGCAGATGGGTGGAGGGACGATCCAGAGGCATATTCACAACTGCACTCGTTGCTAAAGGCGTACAGGGACCAAAGTTAAAAATAGAATCTGACTACTGGAGAGAAGCACATGCACACTGATGGGAACCAGAGGTTTTTAATCTGCTGGGGAGGAGGGTCTCGACCTTTAACCGTCTGTATCAGCAAAAGGCACTCTTCCAGTTTTCACACCTGATGAGGCCAGGGTAAAAGTTCATGGGAGCTTAACTGGCTTGGGCTCATTCCTTGTGAGCGGGCTAAAGTTCAGTCACCCAGAATAAGGAAGCGGTAGCACTGTGGGCCCAAGGTGGAGCTGACCAAACAGAGCCAGTGTTCACCAAGCAACCTGATAAACGAGGCCAGAGTCCCACCAGGTGCTGGCAGCGATGACACACTCGCCTTGCCCGGTCCTGGCCTAGTACTTTGTCCCTACATCCCACCTGTCGGCACCCACTCACTCTCAGGTGTCCCTGTCTCAACAACAAACTCGGGCCACGGGGAGGGGCGGGGACGGGTTCACGAACCACCAAGGTTCTCCTAGGGCCAGGCCTCGAAGGGGCACACCCACACCCCATTGGCAAGACGCCATCACGTGCACACACCCACAGCAAGGGAAGCTGGAAGCCGGGCTGCCTTCTGCTGAGGAGAGGAGATTGACCAAGGGGACATGTGGGCCGTCCTGCCGGCAGGACCGAGTAAACGGGGCTGCATGGACGACCGACCCAGGTAGGAGCCGGCAACCTTGGCGGCCTCCGGGAAGAGACGAGAAAATGGGGGTCAGGTACAGGAGGGGCTTGGTGGCACTGCCTGTCCTGTTGTGGTGGCATTTTCTATCGTGCGTTACCTTAAGGTAAAAGAAAGCCTTTAGGTGGGCGGGGCGGGGGGAGAGCCCAAGGAAAACCAAAATTTCCTCAGCTGGTCAAGGTTGTGAGGCTGCGGGACTGACTGACTCCTCGGCCAGGGACGACGATGGCCCTCTCCGCCGTGCCGCGGGGGACCCTATAAGCGGGGCCAGGAGCGGGGGCCACAAGGCCGAGACCCCGCTTCCCCCACAACACCGGCCAGGCTCCAGGATAGAGGGAACCGCCACCGGACCCGGGCGGGAAGAGTCACGGCGCCTGTGCAGTGGGCCGCACCACCGCGCCTGCGCACTGGGCTGACGCGCGGTGCACGTGGGCGGGGCCCCGCCTCCAGATCCTCCTCCCGCAGCCCGCGGGTGGAGGCCACGCTGAAGCCGGTGGGGCGGGAGCGCGGGGAAGCGATCTCCGCGGCCCGCGCACTCCCCCGGGACTGGCACCTCGCTCCGTGGGTGGGGCACAGGGCCCTGCAGGGTAAGCGGCGGGTTCCGCCGGGCCCGGGATATCTATGCACGTGGGCCCTCTCGGGCACTGTGCGCTGCGCCCTGGAGAAGGGCCGGGGCGGAGCAGGGCCGGGGGCCTCCGGGGCTCAGACCCAGCGCCTGGCAACTACCCGGTCTTCAGCGGCAGCGCCTGGAGGCGGCCTCAGGGTCACTGGCAGCCAGGACTCCGCTGACCAGTGAGGGGCGCGGTCGGTGTTTTGGCACCGGGTGGGCAAGACAGTCGGAGTCTCCACCCCCAGGGAGCCTGTAGCACTGCTGTCTTCATTCATTCATCCAGGGTCTGCTGACCCGCTCCCAGCTCTGTGCTGGGCTCAGGAGATCCAATAGGGGCAGGACAGGCAGGGGAGAAAAGCCCGTTTAAACCTACCAGGAGACTTAGTATTTGTTCATGTGCTTTAATTTTGTATAGGTTTTAAGCATGTGCGGCAGTCATTTGCACGCACGGCCGTTTTTGGGTATTTTAACCTTGGGATAGAACTTGTATTTCGAGAGCCGAGCTGCCATCCCCAGCTCCTAGAAAGCTAGTCGGGGGAGGGGGATGGGGCGGGGCCCGTCCGGACATCACTGCCACAGCCCCACACCGAGTTTCTCCTCTCTGACCCCGTCTCCCCCTGACAGAGGGAGGCACCCCCGCCCCAGGAGCCCGCTGAGAGCAAGGTTAGCTCAGCCAAACGTCTGTTTGCCTTTGTGCACCTACCTCCTGCCCCCCCCCCCCAGCCTACTCCTCATTCCCTCCAGGCTTACCTTTCCTTACAGCTTTGTTCTATACTCTCCTTTAAAGAACAAAACTCATCTAAAATTGTTTTCCTTGGTGATCCTCTGGGGAGGGCCACTGTGGTGTTAGTGGTGTCACAGAAATGTGATCTGCCCCTCCTTAGCTCTGGACAAGCACCTTACCCCATGGAATGAAACTGGCTTTTAGGCTCGGGCCTCAGGGCCATGGAGGTGATTGTGGGCCAGGCTCTTCCTGGCTCTGTGCCCCCTCAGGGTTATGTTCAGTTTGGCCTCTGTTTATGTCACCCTGAACTTGGTGTGTAACCTGAATGATTATGTGTATGTAATTTCACATGAGTGTTTTTCGGTCATCTGAAGTAGTCTTATATGAATAGGGAAAGTGAAGTGATGAAGCACATGTGATTTGGAGACAGAAGCCAGAAACTCCTCTGCCTTGCCACGTGCCAGCTCTGTGATCCCAGGCAAGTCCGTTTACAGACATTCCCGGGCCTTGGTCCTGTTGTATGGACGTAAGTCATCATATGTCGTGTGGTATATAAGTGCCAGCCTGTGGGCCTCTGGTAACAGGAACTAGCATATTTAAAGGGGTGTTTTTTAAATAGGTAGACAAATTTAATGAAGAGCAACCTTTGCCTCGAAATTTAATATACTACCTGTTAGTCTGATCATGTATGTTATGCTTCTTAGACTAACATAGGACATGATAAAATTTGACTACGTAAAAGGGTTTTATAAAACGCTTTCAGAGTTGTAAGATGTTAGTATTGTTTTTGTGTCCTCACTAATCATCCTTGGAAATAGTAGCTTTAGAACTTTCCCTAGAAATACGTTTTTGTTAAATGATCACTTAGCAGTGGGAAACTTTGGGTTACTATAACCTAACCAAAGGGGACCTCTGACAGGGCCTGTTGCCGGGTGAGAGCTGGCTGCCTGGGGATGGATTCCTCAAGCACCAGCCCCAAACCTGTCATCTTTCAAACTCGACCTGTAGAAAACCTGGTCACTGCTGTCTCCTGCCCCATCCCACATGGCCATCACATGGGTCCTGAAGCATCATCCATGCCTCCTGGTGAATTGCTATGTCATCAGCTCGCTTTCTTCACCACCAAGCGATGGCTGAGCAGCTGCTGGGCTCTGGCCTTGTGTCATGGGTGGGAGATCAGGATGACTGGGCTGGTCCCTGCTTCCAGAGAGGCACCATCTCACCAGAGGGAAGGGAGACACAAATGAACAACTCCACATGCAGCTTACTCAGGGAATGAGAGTGGAGAGCACCAAGGAACACAAAGGAGGAGCCTCCGGCTGCAGGTTTCAAAGCAGCAGTGAGCATAGCATTTTGGGTAGGTTTTGCAGGGGTGTGGATAAAGGACCAAAGAAATAGTATGCTTAAAAAAAAAAAACCAGAATATTTAAGGCTGTCCTAGATAAAGGCCTGTGTTCCAGACTGCTGTAGCAGCGCAAGACAGGCTAAGTCCCTGCGCTCGGGGGCTGACGGCCTTGAGGGGACACAGACCTTCAGGAACAAATCCCACAGACTCATCATCACAGATAATGGCGGTGCTTGGTCAGGAGGGGGCGGGGGGTCATGGAGCACACAGTGGGTGGAGGTGGTCAGGGAAGGTGGGGATGACAGCTTGTCAGCTGAGGCTTAGGGATGAGGACCAGGTCAGCCCACCTGAGCGGGGCCAAGAGAGGTAGAGACTAAGCACAGAGGCCGATGGGGGCCAGGCCTGGGCAGGGGTATGATGTTATTCTGAGAGTGAAGTGAGGCCTGAGCTGGGGCTGGGGAGGACGAGTCTTGGGGAGGGAGCTGCTGAGAGAGCCTTCCCTGAGGCCCCTTGTGCTCAGGGAGGGGTGCATTGTCTTGTCCCCCCGCCCCGTCCGAGCTTGGATGGTGAGCCTCTGGGAGGGCCTCTCCCCTGGCAGGGGCACAGGGCTGGCCCAAGGTTTGGACAGTGCTCCAGGGGCTGCGGGCATCCAGGTGTGGCTGTAGGGCTGGATTCCCCCCAAAGGCCACTGTTCCGTCTCTCCTACCCCCAGACAGCCTGGGGTTGGCGTGAGGCCACCACAGGCTGTCCCCTACGCTTCTAGGCCCGGCCCCCACTCCCCCTCCCCCTCCCCTGTGAGGGCCTTTACGCTGTCCTCCAGCCCTCCTTCCCCGCCACCATCCCTGTGTCCTGAGCAAGGCCCACACACCCCCAGGGCTCTGGTCCACAGACACTCGCCCTGCTTCCCACCCGGCACGTGCCTGTCTCCCTCCCCCTGGGACGGTCCACTCCACCTCCCACACTGACAGCCAGGGTGGACAGATGGTGGACGTCCCCAAGGGTAGGGGGAGCCCCGAGAACCAGGCGCCTCACTTCTCGTCCTCTGAAGTCTTGGGCTCCCGCCCAGTGCCTCTGCTGAGCAAGTGCCTCCATTTTAGGGTGCATTGAACCAAAAATAGGGGTGCTGAATTGATTTATTTTGCTCTGCGCTTTGAAAGCACATGGGCATTATTTCCTTCTCGGCAGGAACATGTATATGAATGACAAGAGGTATCTGTTGTGAAACTCCCAGGAGAATGAGCCGTTTCTCTGATCTGTCTGTGGCTCTGCAGTCCCCAAGGGACAGGATCTTAAACCTTTAAATATAAGTTACCAACATGGGAGAAAAAAGGAGAGTGGAGAGAATGGACTGCATATACATCTCTGTTACCTTGAAAGGTCTGGGGACACCACGCCCACGTGGCTTTTAAAATAGCAGCGAGTTTAGAGCCGTTTGCCTGGACCAGCACCTAGAGGGGATGCTCGGGCTGTGGGGCTATGGCCCAGGTTAGCACCTGCAGGACCGACAGCCTTGGACGGGTTGTCTAGTCTCTACGAACCTCAGTCCCTCTTCTGCAAAATGGGGATTCCACCTTCCAGAATCATTCTGAGGATCAAATGAAACATCTGACTCCACAGGAAAAATGCAGACCTGTGGACAAAGTTCTGGTTGAAGGAACTTTTTGTCCCTGAGCGCAGGGATGTCTGACTTGCCCTAGAACCTCGCAGCCTAACGGGTTTTTCCTGCCTCTCCTCCCATTCCACCAGCCGCTGTGGCACAGTCCTCAGCAGACAAGGAAATGAGAAAAGTACCAAACAGTGGGAACCTGAGGGTGACGAAGGTGGCGTACCCGCTGGGGCTGTTCGTGTGCCTGTTCACCTGCGTCGCCTACATCAAGTGGCACTGGGCCTCCGCCCCCCGGGCCTTCCTCGGCATCCCCGAGGTGGCCACGGGGGCCCGGAGGGGCCAGCAGTCCCGCAGTCCCCCGGGGACAGCTGCCCGCGGGCCTGAGGTCTTCTACGGCATCATGTTCGACGCGGGGAGCACTGGCACCCGAGTGCACGTCTTCCAGTTCAGCCGGCAGCCTGGAGGTACCGGCTAGTAAGCCCTGGCCGCGCCCCCCTGTCCTCCGTCACACAGCAAAGCATGGGCCCTCAGGGTGGGCTGGATCCCCGGCCTGGGACTCCCCGGGGAGCCTGTCGCCAGTGCCATTGCCCAGGAGTCCCAGATGTCCTCATTCGCACTGGCATCTGGTGACCACCTAAGGGCAGCTGAGATCCCAGAAGGCATTGGGGTGGCCTGTCCCCTCCCAGCGTCCCAGGCAGGTTGGGTGGCTAGGACCATGACTTAGGCCAGGGGTGAGTTTAAGGAAGGAAGTAGCCCCAGGTTCAGACCACTGGGAGCGGGGAGTCCAGGAAAGTCAGGTACATGATCAAAGACCCGGAGTCCAGGCCAACACTTAACTGCCCAGTGGGGCCAGGCAACAAGGGTGACAGATGGCAGTGGCCTCAGTGAGAGTAAAGCTGGGACCAGAGCCTGTGGGCCTGGCTTCCCAGGGGGGTGCTGAGGAGGAGTGAGGGTGGAGTTTGGGCATCTTCACCAGTGGGCTTCTCCCCTGGGGAGACCCCCAGCGCCGCCCAGTCCCCCCTCCACCCCTTGTGGGTCGGTGTTCACAGCTGGGGTCCCTCCCCTCTGCTTCGGTGCTGACCCTTCTGGGCGTTTAACTGAACTGGTGTTCCGGATGCCTTTAGTAGGTCTCTTCAAACCTCTCATGGCACGTTTATCTACTTTTCATCTGCTTTATTTTTAAACTTGTTATAATAGTTAAATATTTATATGCTGGACTTAACCTACCTCCAAAATTGGTTTTGAAGCTAAGTTTAAGGCAACGTGTGTTGGCAAGTAATCCTTCAGTAGCCATGAACCGGCGTGTTTTCTTTGGAGAGACCTCCTTACAGCAAGTTTGTTGCTGATTTTTCCTCCTTGGTCTATGTGTCTGCATTCGGACAGCACCCCTTGGTCTCGGTGTGCCTGGGAATACTCTCCCTTGCTATAAGCACATGAGTCCAGACCCCTAATAATCTAAAACACTCAATTTTTAAAAAGAAGGCTGAAATATTCTTTTTTAAAAAAAGAATAGAATGTATAGAATAGAATATTAGAATGTATAATGCGTCCTATCTAGAATTAAGAAAATGATTTTCACATTTGCAGTTTGGAATCATTTGCCCTGCTCCTCTGTTGGGTTTTTTTGTTTGTTTTTTTGTTTGTTTGTTTCTTTGGCCACGCTGCTGCGTGCAGGATCTTAATTCCCAACCAGGAATCAAACCATGCCCGCTTCAGTGGAAGAACAGAGTCCTAACCGTGGGACCACCAGGGAATTCCCTGCTTCTCTATTTGTTGAATCAGCAAGAATGAACTATGTTAAAATCTAACATTTTAAATGGGTAGTTTTTGGTATTTAAATTATACCTCAATAAAGTTGATTTTTTTTTTAAATAGGAAAAGTTCTGGCCAAAACATTAAGTAGAATATTCATTGTGTAGCCAAACTAAAGAGGCAGAGTTTAGACGAGAAACAATGAAGGTCTGTTTTCAGAAGTCTGCCTGGAAAGTGTGGCTCCTCATAGTTGTATAGATTCATGTATTTGTGTTTGTATTCACACTTGTACCTGTTCTAAAACATGATTTTCCTTTAGAAACTCCCACCTTGACCCATGAAACCTTCAAAGCACTGAAGCCAGGTCTTTCTGCTTATGCTGATGACGTTGATAAGGTAACAGTGTTCTCTCGTCTCTCTTTGCTCATCAAATTTGCCTTCTGTCGATTTGTTAAAGTGACTCTCTTTCTCTCAGATGCAGAGCCGTCCTCCCAGAGCAGCGTCTCTGCTGTGCTGACCTGGGACATTTCACTGCGTAGGACAGTCTATGGAGGACACTGGCACCCGTGGGAGGTCCCACCACCACCCCACATACTACACACCACACCACACACACTGCACATGTATACACATACACACCACACGCAGAACCACACACACCACACCACACACAGAGCACACACACATACACCACATACATCACACACATATATACACACACACACAGCCACACGTATATACACAGCCACGCCACATACACACCACACCACACATGCACAGCACACACATACATATACACCACACACACACACCACATATATCCCCCAGCTGGCCCGCATGCCGCCCAGAAGTTACGGTGTGATTTAAAAGCATAAACGCTACAAACTTAGAAAAAGCATTATTTGAAAGTTTTACTTTTTTTTGTTTCGGTTTCTCTGATTGAAGATGACAAATGTTTACTAAAAAAATTAAAGTCAAAAAAATGTATTATGCAAAATCCACAGAACCAAATAAGTGTAAAAGAAATTTAGCTGAACCGTCAAATGGTGACGTTGGTAAGTTGGTGGCGTTTACGCTTCTGAGCTGCACGAACACAGGGCACCTGTGTTCCAGGGGGCTCCCGAAAGCAGCCCCTCATGCAGCTGTCGGTTCCTTTGGCCCCAGCACGTCTTAAATCGGAAGCTGACGCAGCATTCTTGCCACAGATGCATCCTGATCCCAGACAGTGAGGTCATGGCCTTGCTTTCCTGTAACTTGGTTAAGAAACAAATTGAAAACAAATCGAAATGAGTGACTCTAGAGGTTAAACCTGATTAAATGATATATCTTGGAATAAACTCATGGGGCTTTTTATTTATTTTTATAAATTTATTTATCTATCTATTTATTTTTGGCTGCATTGGCTATTCATTGATGCACGTACGCTTTCTCTAGTTGCAGAGAGAGGGGGCTACTCTTCATTGCGGTGTGTGGCCTTCTCGTTGTGGTGGCTTCTCGTTGCAGAGCACAGGCTCTAGGCACACGGGCTTCAGTAGTTGTGACACGTGGGCTCAGTAGTTGTGGCGCGCGGGCTGTAGAACACAGGCTCAGTAGTTGTGGCTCCGCGGCATGTGGGATCCTCCCAGATCAGGGCTTGAACCTGTGGCCCCTGCCTTGGCAGGCAGATTCCCAACCACTGCACCCCCAGGGAAGCCCCTCATGGGGCTTTTTAAGTCTTACTCATTCAGGCAGGCAGCACACATTCACGTGGGGTGACTGGTACAGCTTCCCAGCGGACAGCGAACCCCTCCCACTTCCTCCAGGAGGACAGTGTCCCTGATTTCTCGCTGTCCTTCTGTGTTCTCGTCCCCTCTGTTTACACACACAGTGGAGCACGTTCACGCTGTATGCGCTTTGCTCCCGGGGCTGAGCAGTGTGCCTTGGAGACTGTGCCCCGTCAGGAAGTAGAGTGCTCTGTCCTGCCGTGCGTGTGCACGTTGCACTTGGAGAGCCAGCCCCTCCAGAGGGCCTGTAGGTGACCCCCGCCACCCTTCGCTCCTCACGGTTTGGGAAAGGCTGCTCTGTGTCATCTCATGTGCACTTCGTTCCCCTCACATGCCAGGGTGTCGCCTGGGTGAACTCTTGGGGGGGTTTCTGAGTGAGAGGCACACGTGTCCCCCACAGGCATTGCTAAACACCCCCCCCCAGCATCGTACCCTCCACACGCCTGGCGAGGCTTCACGGCAGTCGTCCCCCGCCCTGCCCGGCCCGCCCCCTACGGGCCCTGGTCCAGCATGGAGAGCTCAGCATTCCGGCAGGTGAAGTGATTCCTCGGTGTAGCTCTTCACGGGTTTTAGTGCCGTGAGGGACCCCAGAATTCACTCATGGTGTCCAGGGGCGTCGCAGCTCGTCTGAGGCTGCTCGGGCTGGTGGCAGGGCTGGCGGGGTTCCGGCTGCCAGGCGCGTAGAACCCTGGCCCGCTCCGCTGCCTAGGGTCCGCCCCACGCTCCTGCCTGCACCACTTGAGTCGCTGTTTCTGCTGATTTGGAAAATTAGAAAAAATACATTTATAAATTAATAAAACCGAAAGGGTGGGGAGCACCTGTGACCCCTGCACGCTGAGTGCAAACCCTGCTCTACCCACCATGTTCACAGAGCACCCCGGGAATTCAGGAGTTACTGGACATTGCTAAACAGAACATACCCTTTGAATTCTGGAAGGCCACCCCCTTGGTCCTCAAGGCCACAGCTGGTTTACGTCTGTTACCAGGAGAAAAGGCTCAGAAGTTACTGCGAAAGGTGAGCTCATCCAGTTACCCCGGGGCGGGTGACTTGAGATAACTGAAAACATGGAACATCAGCCCGCGTCCAAGCAGGCAGACAGGCCACGGAGAAGCTCCCCAAGGAGGGAAGCATGTCGAAATGTTAGCAGTGTCGCCTTCGGTGGAGGGGTTGTGGATGAATGATGCTTTCTTTCTCAGGATGTTTAAAGCTATTCATGTTTTCTAGAATGAATCTGTTTTATAAAAAGAACAAGTTGGTGTTAAAAATATATTGTGTTTTTGAAGGGCTTACTTCCATCCAAGAACTTGCCGAGTGTCTAAGGCTGTGGGACCTGAATTCTTGACATTTCGGCTCAAGCCAGCCGTCCTCGTGGGAAGTGCAGGCTCCGCTCTTGGTCTGATGTTCCGATGTGACTGCTGAGGAGGCCCCTTTGTGTCTGCGCAAGCCCTGTACCTCCCTGCAGGTGGCTCTGGAGCCTGTCTTTGACATGTGCTTGCAGGGTTCTTACCATCAGGAATCAGGGAAAGTGTTCTCAGCAAAGTAGTCCTCCTCTGCACTGTTTCTGAACCTGTTAGCTGCTAAATGTCAGATTGTTGCAGGTTTGTCAAGGTCCCTTATAAAAACTACTGAATACCTTCACATGCTCAAGTTGGATTGTGGGACACAAGTGCGGACGTACTGAAGTTTCTATGTATCAATAATTGCTAAAAAAAAAAAAAAAAAAAAAATGGAGAAGGAAATAAAGCCAAACACAGTTGCTCACCGCTTTCGCTTCCCCTGTGCCAGGTCCTCTCCCAGGAACGTGCCCACCAGGCCACGTGGCGGCCCAGGGCTGGGATCCGCCTTGTGGGGCTTCCCACCGCTCGTGTCCTGTCCTAAAGCAGGGCAGTGATTGGGACTGTGAGTTTAGATCCTAAACGATAAAGGCTTGTCTCTCTTTACATTTAGGTGAAAGAAGTGTTTGAGGCGTCGCCGTTCCTCGTAGGGGACGACTGTGTCTCCATCATGAACGGGACGGACGAAGGTAGTCGCCTGAAGCGCCATGTGCCATGAGTCTGCCCCTCGAGGCGGGCTGCGTGCGGGGCTGCTGTCAGCAGTGCGCTGGGAGCCTTCCCTGCTTGGAGGCACAGACACCAAAGTGCCGGTCCCACCCCAGTCCGCAGTCTGACCGTCTCAGAGCACTGTATTCTTGGGGCCAGTGATAGAGACATTCTCCTCGTGACTGGCTCCAAGCCTGGCATATATCGCGTTTCTGAAAACAAATCATCTTTTCTGATTTATTTTTAACTTAATTAATTAATTAATTTGGCTGTGTTGGGTCTTCTTTGCTGCGCGTGGGCTTTCTCTCGTTGCGGTGAGTGGGGGCTACTCTTCGTTGCAGTGCGCGGGCTTCTCACTGCAGTGGCTTCTCTTGTTGTGGAGCACGGGCTCTAGGCGCACAGGCTTCAGTAGTTGTGGTGTGCAGGCTCAGTAGTAGTGGCTCACGGGCTCTAGAGCACAGGCTCAATAGTTTTGGCACAAGGGCTCTATAGTGCAGGCTCAGTAGTTGTGGCTCACGGGCTCTATAGTGCAGGCTCAGTAGTTGTGGCTCACGGGCTCTATAGGGCAGGCTCAGTAGTTGTGGCACACGGGCTTAGTTACTCCACGGCATGTGGGATCTTCCCAGACCAGGGCTCGAACCTGTGTCCCCTGCATTGGCAGGTGGATTCTTAACCACTGCGCCACCAGGGAAATCCCATCTTTTCTGTTTTAAGGACATTTAGAGAGAATCCCCAGTTGCTGATGCGTTAATTCTAAGGGAGAGTCACTTCATAAGGTTCCTTACCAGCTCCTGACTTTAAACATGACCTTAAGAGTTTGTTTGGGCGGAGGGAAAGGGAACATTTGTTTCTCATCCCACCTCTTCCAGAAAGAGGCAGTTGATAAAGAGTGTGACCAAGAGATGTGACAATTCGGCTGAGCACGCTGATTTTTAGCGTGGTGTCTTCTAGAGCAGTCTGCCAGAAGCAGCTGGATGGTTCTATGAGTGATGCCCGTTTCTGTAGCTGATCTGGAGGATGAGAGGAGTGAGGAAGTGGCCTCCCTGTGCTCCTGAAATCGGAAAGCTGTCACGAGTCCCCATTGCTGTTTACAGCATCTCAGGTGATTCAGATGCTGTTTGTGACCCTCTCTTGCAGGTGTTTCCGCGTGGATCACCGTGAACTTCCTAACAGGTGGGTTCCCTTCATCATAAAGCCAGCAGTTCACAGACACAGGTCTTTAGAGCAGGGGCCTCGTTTCCACTCTAAAATAACCCCTTCGGGTTGCTGACCCGAAGCAGGGTGTTGGGATGGGTGGGGCGGGCACTGAGCTTGATGCTGGAGATGCAGGGGGTCCTTCTCCAAAGGCTCAGCTCTGCCTCTGCTCCCACGGCGGCGTCCCCAGGCCACCGTCCTCATTCCTGAGAGAAGCCCTGAGTCACACTAGTCAATATTGGATATGACGCGAATGCTGATCACCTTATAATTGAAGTCCTGCTGTAGGTAGAACAGGGAACAGGTGGCAAGGAGTCATTTTTCTTAGATTACTCTCAGGATGTGGATTTTTGTCCCTTTGTTGTAATTATGGATAAGATCAGTGTGTCTGACAGATGGATGAGAAAGAAGGAAGTTTCCTGTAGGAGTTGCCGCCCCGGGGATGGGGAGCCATGTCAGATGACAGATCAGGAGCCCAGGCCCCAGGAGCACAGGTTGTCCTTCGTTCAGATGAAAGCCACCACCGGGGCAGCTGTCCTTCATGCCCCCCAAATGCTCATGGACATTTTCAAGTGGCCACAGCTTCTGTCTGTCTGGTTCTCTTTCCACGGAAGGGCCTGGCTTGTAACCTCCCCTTTTCTGCTGTTCTGTTTACTAACGGGCATTGCTGTGTGGATTTTACTCTCGGTGCTGCAGGCAGTCTGAAGACCCCCGGGAGGAGCAACGTGGGCATGCTGGACCTGGGCGGAGGGTCCACCCAGATCACCTTCCTCCCGAGATTCGAGGTAACCTGCCGCCGCCCCCAAGGCCACCTGCCCCATGGGGGAGCCTCAGCCCCGGGGGAGGTCTGTGCACTCAGCTTCTCTCCTGAGGGTCAGATCACCCGCAGTGAATGCTTCTTAGTTTGATTTTAACTCTGCCTGGAAAAAAGAAAATAGGAATCTGGTCTTCAGCAGGGTGATAAACTAGATACTACCTGGAGACCTTGGGGCAGAGGGTGTGGGGTGGGTTCTTCCCCACCTCCCGCAAGGGCTTCCAGGGAGGGGCCGGAGTCTGACTCAGATGGGACAGAGCCTCAGGCCTTTTCAGGACGGATGTTCTAAGGCAGGGGTCCCCAACCCCCAGGCTGCGGAGTGATAGGACCGGGCTTCACAGCAGGAGGTGAGCGGCGGGCAGCAAGCGAAGCTTCATCTGCCGCCTGCCATCGCTCACATTACTGCCTGAACCATCTCCCTGTCCGTGGGAAACTTGTCTTCCACGAAACCAGTCCCTGGTGCCAACAAGGCTGGGGACCGCTGCTCTAAGCGACACGAAAACGTTTCCAGTTGAGACTGCGTGCTGTTTTTAAAAAGTACTTCCCTCATCTGCCACTTTTTAAATTATTACTATTATTTTTAGTTTTAATGGAATAGCCTTGGGACTTCCCTGGCGGTCCAGTGGTTAAAACTCTGTGCTTCCAGTGCAAGGGGCATGGATTCGATGCCTGGTTTGGGAACTAAGATCCCGCATGCCGCGTGCCATGGCCAAAAAAATAAATATATAAATATAAAACTTAGCATTAATGGAATAGCCTTAAATTTACGCATAACTCTTCTGGTTGGGCCGTATTTCCCAGAATGGGTAAATGTTACTCACAGGGAGGAAAGACACGGGACTTCCCTGGCAGTCCAGTGGTTAAGACTCCACGCTTCTACTGGAAGGGGTGTGGGTTCAGTCCCTGGTCGAGGAACTAGGATCCCACAGGCCTCTTGGTGCAGCCAAAAAAAAAAAAAGAGAGAGAAAAGACAAAGTGTTTCACTGCTTGCTCCAAGCTGTTTCACAGCATGTGATTTGATGAAAGGCTAATTTAATTGAATACATCTGTGAATATCCCTGTTCTTTCAAATGAATTGAGGGAGTGGGGGACAATTTTTTATAAAGGCCAGCAGGAAAGGTGCTTTAACCCTTGTGTTCTTCCCCAGGGCACCCTTCAGACCTCCCCGCCCGGCTTCCTCACGTCCCTCCAGATGTTTAATAGGACCTACAGGCTCTACTCCTACAGGTTTGTTTTCAGGACTGAGCGTGGAGAGGTCCACTGTCCAGGCATGTGGCTCAGCTTAGCACTGCAGGCCTCCCCCAGCCTCCGCCTCCCACCTGGGGAGCGACCAGAGTGCTGGGCCATAGACTTGGTCCCAAAATCCCTGCTGTGGACCCCCCTGCAGCCTCTCCCTCCCTCCCTCCCTCCCTCCTTCTTTCTTCCTCTTCTTCCTCCTCCTCTTCCTTTTTTAATTCACCTGTAGTAAGATTACATTTCTTCTTTTGTACTTATTCTCTTCTGCCTTGGAAGAGGTTTTTGGGAAAGTGGGGAAGGGTCCACAGATGGTGCAGGAAGTTTCTGGGCCGTCTTTTTTGCCACGTGGTGCCTTTAATAGGTTCTTTCCATGAGGCCCGTCCACACCATAAAGCTGGGGACCTGTGTGTCGCCCTTGCCGGTGTCCACAGCTCCTGGACGAGCTCCCACCAAGTAAGAGCCTTCCCTGTCGAGCTGAGGAGCTGGATGCCCTGAACCCCACTGAGGGAGCTCCTGGAAGAAGCAGGAAGCTGCTGCCTTGCCCCTGGTTTCCTCCTTCCCCCCACATTTTGGATCCAGGCTGGTGAACGTGCTGCAGGCGGAGTTGAGGGAGGCCTCCGCTCACCTGGGTTCTCTCTCCGCAGCTACCTGGGGCTCGGCTTGATGTCAGCGCGGCTGGCGGTTCTAGGCGGCGAGGAGGGAAAGCCTGGTGAGTGGGGTGCAGTGTTCAGAGCCCTCCCGGCCAGCAGGACTCGGGAGCCCTAGAGGGCACCCCCCCAGACCTTGTTGGTGGGCCCCTGAAGACCTTCTCAGTTACTTTTAAAGAAAGATGCTAGTGAAGCGGTTTCTGAATCACCGAGTTGCAGGGGGTTCTTAGGAACCCAAGGAACTGGGTGTGATCGGAGTTGGCTTGTTTGTAAGGATTTACCACTGGGCGCACGGTGGGGGGGCTCCGAGGGGGGCTTCAGGGGAGGTTCTGGCTCCTGAGGATGTCCCCTGTGTTCTTCTGCTCTCGAGGGGACTTGGAATGGGCTCTGCCTTCCTCCAGACGTGGCATTTGGGGACGAAGCCTGTGTCTGTTCCCAGGCCCTCTCTGCGCCATCCTGCCCTGACGTGCTTGGCTTGGGACAAGCCAGGCGTTGGTGGCGGGCGCTCGAGCCCCTGGGACGTTCAGGGGACCACATGCCCGAGGCGAGCGGGGGCCCTGCTCTGAGGCTGCCTCGGCCTGTCCCCTCGAAGGCCTCGGTCAGACATGCGCAAGCCCAAGCATGTTCTTGGCCACGCACACCCCCGGCCCAGCACTTCCGCTGCCTCTTCCAGGGCCTGGCTGTTCTGACAGAGCGGGAATGTTCCACTGGAATTGTTTTCCACGCACATCCTGCTGTTTAACCTCGTAACAGTGGCCCCTTTTTTGCAAACCAAAAACGCGTCCACGTCTCAGAAACACCCACGACCACACTCTGGGCCAGAAAACACTTGTTAGCCAGTGGAGGATGGCAGGCACCTACCTGCCCGTCTGTGCCGGCCTCAGGGTCCTGTCCCTGCTGCACCCCAACCTGGCAGAGCGGCGGGGAGCTGTGTGTCTTCATGTGGGGCTGTGACAGCAGCCAGAAGGGGTGCAGACCCCTCGCTGCCCCAGGGAGGCGTCTCCCACCGTGTGAGCCGTTGTCACTCAGCAGACCACCCACTGCCCTGAGTAGTTGCAAACAGCAGTCGTCTTATCTCAGGATTGCACAGGCATCCACTCGGCGGTCCCTTTGCTGGGGTCCCCGGGGTCCTGTGAGGTGGCATTTTGGGCGTGTGTCTGGCCTCTACCCCGAACAGCAGCCTGCAGTTCTCCCTGGCGGCTCGGGGGAAGGAAAGCCTCCTGAAGCCCCACGGCCTTGTGTCCTGAACGTTCCGCTAGTGCAGGTGGGCCCAGGCCAGAATCAAGCGGGCACAGGGACCCACTCGGCAGGACGCCAGGAGGCGTGTCCCCGAGGGCTGGCGTCCTGGGGCCCTGGAGGCTGCCCCACGGGGAGCCACTGGGGTCGTCATGAGCGTCGCCTGGAACCCCGAAGCCCCTCTGTGGCCGTGAGCTGGGAGTGGCTCTGCTGGGGCTTCCGCCTCCCGAAGCTGACTCGGGACGCTTCCGCCAAGTCCATCCCGCGGCAAAAAGGAAGCGTGTTCCCTTGACCCTCCGAGGCCCTCGGTGCTGACCTGAGACACTCAGTGCTGTCGGCCTCCCCTCAGCGGGCCCCGTCTCAGCTCCAGGCCTGCCCTCACCCCACCATGGTCAGTGCTCTTTATCCGCCTCTGTCTCTTTCTCTTTCAGCTGAGGATGGAGCAGAGTTGGTCAGCCCTTGTTTGTCTCCCGGTTTCAGAGGAGAGTGGGAGCACGCTGAAGTAACGTACAGGGTGTCAGGACAGGAGGCAGGTACGGCACGTTTATCCTCCGTGGGTGGCTCGTGAGGGTCAACGGCAGCCCCTTCCCTCCGGACACCTCAGAGAAGCAGGGGGACCATCCAGCCTCCGTCTCAGACAAGTGTGTACTTGCCCATAAGCCGGATATGGTTCTGGAACCCCCGGCTCCTTCGGGGTCCCTGCACAGGGCTCCCTTGTCTGCCGCTCTTCCAGGGACCCGATTTCCCGGCAAGCCTCCAGTGAGGGAGGATCTGGACGTCCCTCGGCTTCGAGCAGACAGCCAGGCGTGGCTGTGGGCCTGGCAGCTCTGTGGGAAATGGCTTCTCCTCCCACACCCGCCACCTGTGCTCCTGCGAGGGCGGGAGAGGCCACAGAGCCCCAGGCCTGTCTCACCCACAGGGTCCCGCGGCTTTGTGCTCTGAGTTTCTTCTAAAAGAGATGCTGAAGCGTTGTGTCCAAGCTGGGCACGTGGGCGTGAGGTTTGCCTCTGGTGACAGGGCTGTTGCTACTCACAGCACTTCTGACGCCAAACGTGGGGGTTTTCCCACAGCGGCCAGTCCTCTGGCAGCAGCAGGGTGTCCTGCGAGTCACTTCGTTCCGACACTGACTTCCAGAGTCAGTGCAGCCCCCATCAGATGAGGCCCTCCCCGACCTTTGCAAGTGCCGGGCCTCCCATTCTTCTGACAAATCAGGGGTTCCCACGGCCTCCTCCTCAAATTTGATAATTTGCTGGAAGCACTCACAGAGCTCAGGGAACATGTTCCTATCACTGGTTTCTTATCAAGGACACAGCTGAGCAACAGTGAAATGGGAGAGAGGCACAGGGCAGGCGTGTCAGGAGAGCGCCCGGAGCCCCCCTCTCCCCGGGAGCCCCCCTTCCCGGGAGCAACCCCCTCTCCCTGGGAGCACCCTACCCCCGGGAGCATCCTCTCCCTGGGAGCAGCACCTGCATGTGTCTCCAACCCGGAAGCTCTCTGAGCCCCATCGTGTAGGGTTTGTACAAGGCTCATGGCGGAGGGACTGACTAACTCAGTGGCTGCTGGTGACTGACTTAATCCCCAGCCCCCCGCCCACTCCCTTAGGGGTGGGGCTGAAAGTTGCAGCCCTCTAATCACCAGCTCCGATCCTGAAGCCATCAGGACCCACCCGGAGTCACCTCATTAGCACAACCCAGGTGGATTGAAAGGGGCTTATTATGAATCACAGAACGCCTCTCTCACTCTCACCACTCAGGGTCTTACAAGGCTTCACAATCTCTGTGCCAGGAACCCAGGGTGGAGAACAAATGCATGTTCCTTACTATCCAGTGATAAACGGAAGGGGGCTGTGGGTACCGGGGGAGATCGCGGTCTAAAGACAACCAGGGAAGGCCTTATGGGGTGATACCTGAGACAAGACGTGAAGAAATGGGAAGTGAGCGCCAAGCCGAGGGAGCAGCACATGCAAAGGACCAGAGGCGGCTGCTATGTTTAAGGAACATGGAAGAGGTGGTGTGATGGGTCAGACGAGGGAGAGTGCAGGGAGATGAGGTCCCAAGTGCAAGGATGCAGCTCCCAGGGCCCTGGGAGAGCTAAATGGAGCTGCCGTCAGACGTGGAGCAGGGCTGGGGCAAGCTCAGACCTGGGTCCAGGTGTGGGCTGTGGGCATCCATGTCCACTGACTCAGTCTTGTGTTGTCGCTCTCCTTCTGAGCAAGGAGTCAGTGACCAGCCCTGTGAGCTTGGCACGCTGCCTGTAGGCCCCAGCTTCCTCATCTGTGACAGGAGGGAGGTGCAGGCCCCACCCAGGCGGCTGGTGAGATGGGGTGGGACAGTGCACACTCGAGCTCAGCACAGGGCTGGCAGGGTGAGCGTGGGGTGGACCCACTGGGCTGCGTCACGGCAGCTGGAGGCGCCCAGCTGGAGGCGCGTGACCTTCAGGGTCGGGCCACACTCTCTCGGGCCACCTTTTGTGCTCACAGTTTCTCCCCTTGAGCTGGCCGCAGCACGTGGCCCCTGAAAAGTTGCTGGTGAGCACCCCCAGGTCGCAGTCACCCTGGGCTATGTGGTCAGGCGCCCAGAGCCCACTGACCGCTGAGTCTGCTCTCCCTTCGCTCCAGCGGGGAGCCTTTACCAGCTGTGCGCCCACCGAGTGTCCGAGATCCTCCGAAACAAAGTGCACAGGACGGAGGAAGTGAAGGACGTGGATTTTTATGCCTTTTCCTACTATTATGACCTTGCCGCAAATGTGGGCCTCATAGGTAAGGGTGGGGCTCGGTTGGGCCGTGCAGGAACTTGGGTGTGGGTCCCCGGGTGGAGGGCCCGTCAGTCACATCAGGGTGATAGAAATAGAGGGAGGGCGGGGGACGTGTCACTGAGTAGAGAGAAATAGGCCCCCTTTTTATAAACAAGTCAGTTCTCTGAGCCGCTCAGTGCAGGAAGGCTTCCTCGCTGTTGGTTTATTCTCCTTTCACCTGTGTGATTCTCAAACCGTCAGCCGCTGGCACCCAGGCCAGCAGGAGGGCTCAGCCCACCCCTCAGATCGCCCTCAGGAGCCTGGGGGTATCACCCTGACCCCTCCCCAGCCCGCGGTGCCGTCAGGACAGAAGACGGTATCGTGAGTCTGGGACCGGTGCTGGTCAGACCAACTGGAAGCCCTTGAGAGGGTTGTGAGGTCACTTCAGTGGGTCGTGACCGGACATGTGTTTTGATGAAATAGATTGAGGATATTAGAACGTGTTGCCCGTGGCAAGGGTGAGAACGTTAATGTCCACAGAAAGCCGCCCTGGAGAGACCGAAGCCGTCAGGTTCCGGCTCGCTGGGCCCCACTGGGCTACACTCTCGGGCCCAGTGTGGATGGCAGCCAGCCGGTCCGGGCGGAAGGTGACCTCTCACCCCTCACCTAGGCCCAGGCCCCTCACTCTGGGGCACCCCAGCAGCTGCCCCTCGGCCGCCTGGTCTGCAGGTTCCCTGTAGCTGGAGCCAGGGCACCCTCGTCTGCACGCCGATGCCCAGACGTGTGGCCGCCTGCATCTGACCCCCCACCCCCAGGGTACCCCAGGCGCGGACCCGGGGGCCTCAGTGCCGTCTAGGCTCCACGGCGCTGGTGCAGACTGGGTGCCCCGTTTCCTCCACAGATGCAGAGAAGGGAGGCAGCCTTGTGGTCGGAGACTTTGAGACTGCGGCCAAGTATGGTGAGTGGCCTGGAGGCAGGACGCTGGCCCAGGCATGAGGCAGGTGCTGGCCCCAGAGCTCCTGGTCGGCCCCTGACTGTCAACCGGACGAGCCTTCGGGGGTGTGAGAGTGTGTAGGGGCCGCTGAGCTAGCTCAGACCGCAGGCCCAACGCGCCCTGTGTGGCCTGGGCAGTGGAGGCAGGCGTTTCTAGTCCCAGTGTTGTGAGGAACAGACTCCCTTGATTTCACTTTTTCTGACTCTTTCTCTGTGACTCAGGTGACCTCAACTCCCCAAAGTGTCCCAGCAGATTCACAATTGCCAGGGACCCCTGCACCGCAGAGTCCAGTGTGGGGGACGGAGAGCTGTCCCCCGGGGTGTGCCCGGTGGCTGCCACTCCCCCCACTCCTCCATGGCCGGGTGTACGGGCTGCTTGTAGATTCTGCTCTTTGGTTGCCTTTCCCAGTTGCGGGTCAAAGGGGTTAAACGCTGTATGTTTCTCCATAGAAAGACCTTCTCTCCCTCCCGTCAGAAAAGGCTTTTGTAAAATCGTTCTCATCACCTCTGGGTTTGTCTCCCAGACACCAGCCAGAAAAGGTTCCGAGCAGAGGCTGTGGGTTGGTTTGTCCGTCCCCGTCGTGAACAGGGGTGGGGTGTTCTGTGCCAGCTTGGTGGGTGCTTCCAGTCCCCAGAAGCCCCAGGTCCACGCCTAGGAGAGGTGTCGGGGGTCACGGTGCAGAGATGGGGCCTGGAGGCAGGCAGTGGGCACTGGGTTGGCCTCAAGTCCCTGCCTGTGCTGTGCTCTGACCAGCAGTGAGGCCCCGGGTGGCACAGGGCCTGACGGCGGGGGGTGCCCCAGGGGGGTGGGTGCCCCAGGGGGTGGAGTCTGGCTGCTCGCACTGCCCCCCCTCCACGTTCCCCCACCCAGGAGCCCTTTTCCCCTCAGTGTGCCGGACGGCGGAGACCCAGCCGCCGCGCAGCCCCTTCCTGTGCCTGGATCTCACCTACGTCAGCTCGCTGCTCCACGGACTCGGCTTCCCGGGGGACAAAGTGCTGAAGGTGGGGACTCCCCCGGTGCCCCCAGCCCCCACCCATCGCGAGCACATGCCCGCCTTTCACACGCACGTGCTCCCTTCCACCCCCCCACCCCTTGTCTTTTCAAGTTGACCCGGAAGATTGACAACGTGGAGACCAGCTGGGCTCTGGGGGCCACTTTTCATTACATCGACTCCCTGAGCCGACAGAAGAGCCCCACCTTGTAGCAGCCCAGCTGCCAGCCATCCCCGTAGAAGCACTGTCTCTGCGAGAACAGGCCCCTTTGGGACCCCCAGTGTGCGGGGAGGGGGTCATGGCACAGGCTGAGACCCTCCTCCCCGTGACCTCACAGACCGGCCCCTGGACGTGCTGGAACACGGCCCAGGACTTGTTTCCCGGTGGCCAGTGACCAGACAGGGTCAGGGGCACAGGCTGAGGCCAGGGTGGCACAGCCGCTGTCCCCATTGTCCCATCGCAGGGCTGGGGCGGCTGTGACACACGTCCGGTGACGGGAGTCTTGTTTTGTCCCGCTGCCCCCAGCGGGAGCCCCCTGGGCTGGTGGGCCAGGCATCTCCTCTGTGGGCGTAGACTGTGACGTCATCCAGAAGCTGCTTCCTTGGGTCCTCGGGTGGCTCAGGGTTAGCTGGCGGGTTGGCGCTGAGACTGGAAAGAGGGGCTGGAGGAAGTGCCTCTTTGTGGCCCGTGTGCCCTGGCTTCTCGAAGCGGTCTAAACGTGAGCGTGAGCTGCTGTGAGATATCTGTGTCTGTGAGTGATGTCTGTGTGGTGCTGCGTGCTCGTGTAGCAGCTGTGTTCTGAGCCCAGTGGATGTATCGCTGCCCTGAGCCATTTGCAGCCAAGCGGTGTCAGTCGGGCTGGAGCCCCAGATGCGCCCTCTCACGGCCCGTCCCCGCAGGCTCGCAGGATGCTGGCTGAGCTGTGCACAGGAGGCTTTGTGTCCCAGGCCCGCAGCCGTTCCTGTGGCATATGCACTGTTCACGGAATAAGCTGAACCTCATGTGTTCCACTTGAAATAAAGGGTTTTCCAGGGTTTCTGCTCCTCTGATTCCTCTCGGTGAGCGCCAGCCGTGTCCCTCCACGCCGGGTGTCAGGCACCTGAGGTCCCTGTTCACCAAAGTATAAACAAAAACCTGCCCAAGTGGGTGACATGTGATGGCAGGATTAAATCCTGTCGGTACATCTTGGGGAGACAACAGCAGACGGACACACAGAAGCCCCCGTCGGGCCCTCCTGGCGTCCCCTGTCCGGGACTGGCCCTGTGGTGGCCCAGGCTGTTCTGGGGTCTGGCAGGGCAGAGCCCCCTCGACTGTGACTCGCGGCACTGCCGGGTGAGGATCCGGGCTCATCACCTCCGGTGGCCGTGGGGTCTGGAGCGAGCACCGAGCTCCAGGTTGCAGTGTGTTCAGCAAGGATCTGGCTTTAATCCAGGACAGTCGGAAGTGGGTCACGGGCCAGACAAAGACTGGACAGACCCCTCCCAGGGCTGCAGCGGGTCCAGAGTGACGTGACTGCTGAATAAGCCCACATGTTAGGCCTGTGGACACAGATCCCTGACCTTGGAGTGGGCAGGCCCAGGAGAGGGATGCAAGTGTACAACCTGAGAAGCACTAAGCCTGCAGGACAGCCACATGGGGAGTCCCCACCCCCTCCTGGGTGTCCTGACGCAGTCTGGATTGGGGCGTTGCCACAATCACAACCCTAGAGGGCTGGAGGGAGGCCACCAGGATGCAAACACTGGAAACTGGAGCCAGCTGTCCTCTGCCCGGTGGTTTGCCTGAAGTGTCAATACTGGGGTAGGGGGCAGAGGTCTGCATGCAACACAGCAGGAAAGGACAGAGCAGGAAGATGCTTAGCCACGTCAGCACTAAAGCTCCAGGCTCTACTTGACAAGGACATGAAAACCAGCTCCCCTCCACCAAGCACCCCCGCCTTGGTGGGCCTCCCAGCCCCTTCCTTCCATGATACCTTACAGTTTAGATACTTAATGGACTCCAGAGGCAAGGAATCAAAAAATGCATGAAGGCAGAAGTGAACATTGATTTGGTCTGTTTATAGGTTGGTGATCTCACATCTGAAAAAATAAACAACTGGACTTTTCCCAAGAGATTCCCAAATAAGTCATGGAATGTTTCTGAGCTGAGCAGAATATGCAAGTCATTGACTGAGTGTCTTTGTGATAATGAAGTAGGCTCTTGTTTTTTAAAAGCAGCCACACGTGCACATCCCAACACGTGAGTGATGCATATGCATGAGCAAGAGGCTCCCACCCACATGCCCTGCCCGTGTTTCCCGCACCCCACCTTCCCGCCCTCACTCAGAACAGCTGCCCCGTCTGGATGACAACCCCACGGTGTCCAGCTGTTTGCACTCCCACACCCGTGTGCGTGAGCTGGCCTGACATTGCGGACCCAACTGCAGGAACGTGCTTTATTTTGTCTTAGGGTGCTTCTTAGAAGGGTATTTTAATAAGGAATTTAAAATCTAAATTAAATTGCAGCTTAAGCTGAATGATGGTGGAGAGGCTTGGATCAACATAAATTAGAAAATAATGGAATTAAACTGATTTTTACTCCCTATATGAAATGTACCCTCTCGATACTCAGAATAGTTCAACCTACTTCCCCTTTGTCTTCACGGGGTTAAGTATCTTGAGAAAATAGAAAATGTGCCAGGAGCTCTGTGTCTTAGGTGACTCACTGAGGCGTCCCACTGGGAGACCCAGCCTGGACTTCTGGGGTCCAGTTCTGAGGGGGTGTTGTGTGGAGTTGGGGTCTATCTTCCCTGCCCTCCTGGAGGAGATGGACGAGTCTTAAGGGTGATATAAATGGAGTGGTTGAAGGGGCAGCCTTGCTGATCTAGGGAACTGCTCGAGGTGACAAGCACCTGTGAAGATCAGGCCCTGGTGGGAGCAAAGTCCTTTAAGAAGCAACACTTTTCCAGAAGACAGAGTTGTGAGACCCCTGGAGGAGCTTTGAGAAGGACTTCACTTGAAATACCCCCAAGGGTTTGC